CGAGTTTTGTGATTGTGAAGCTCGAGGAACCTTCTTGTTCTGTAATCTCCAATCCTCTTGGTGAAGAAAATTATAATTTTTTTTAAATTGATATATCTCTCTCTGAACTCAATAAAGCCACTAGTTTCTTAAAAGACTCGTCGCCGGGCTTAGGTGGTAATCGTAACAGTCATCTTAAGATCCTGAACACCGAAAACCGTTTAATTCTACTAAAGGAATTTAACAATATTCTAATTACCGGTTATACCTGGTACGATTTCCAAATCTTCACTTTAAGAAAAAAGAATAGACCGCCAATTACTCTTAATTCCTATGCATGTACCGCCTTAGTTCCTATCCTTAGGAAAATTTTCGAGAAAGTATTATCTTCTCGTTTAGAACAACATATCAAAGCTAAGTGCATCCTCAGAAACTTTTAATTTTATTTTAAACGTTCCAGATCTATTTCTCTTACAAAGAATATCCGCGATCTAATGGTACGAGTCCTATCTTAGAAAAGCAGATTTCATAACGATATATTAACTAAATTTTCAGCATCCTTCCTTAGAACATCTCAATTTTGAGCTATGCCGGCGAATTTGTGATGTTTAGGTCCAACTCTAATCCAGGTTTCTGTAGACGCACTTCGCAATCTGTCCACGACACTATTTCATCCCGTCTTAAACTTTCACACTTTCAGTTAATAAGGCTAAGTGGGACTTCTTTTCAAAAAAAGGGAGAGACCCTACGGTTTCTCCTCTTTTCACATATGCTTTTACTATCCTGTTTGTTAAAACGTTCGCCATTTTAGACTTCGTTCTAGACTTGATAATTTCTTCTGCTTCTTGCACTGACGAAATTGGCAAGCAATGTTTTGAACGCATCAACGTACTGACATCCATTTACGTAATTTCATGGAGCTCTGACTCTTTTTGTTTGATTAAACTATACCTTGGATGAGTCAGGCCAAAGTTAGGATACGTTTGCTCGCTCTTATTGGACGCTCTCTTGTCTCTTAGTGGTATGAAATCTACCGACATACCAAACTTGGAACAGATGGCAAACGTTATGCCCCTACAAAAAAGATTTCGTTTACACGTCAATTTTTCATTTCATAAAATCCTATCCAATGACAATCATCCGGCCTTAGCTTTCATTTAGGACCTTTCATCACTTAATTCCTCTTCTTCCTTTTTTACAATTTTTGCTGGCACAGTTAACAATTTAAACATTCTAAGAACTAATGTACATAACTTATTCAAAATTTATTTTAGTTCTCAATATTTTCGGCCAGTAATTAAATTGCTACCAATGAGAAAATGCTGTGTTACTCCGGTGGAAGTGCATCACCACTATTTAAACTTTGGTGAGGCTCAAATAAAGAGCTATGCTTCCACAATACGTCTTTTTTACACACCACGGCAAACTTTTGTTTGTTGATTTACTGAATAGACTAAGAAGAAAAAGATATTTTGTGTTTATTTTAAAAAGAATGGTCGAAATAAGGAAAACAACAATGCTTCGTAAAAATATTACTCATAATATTAAAAAATGGCATGCGAGTTTTGAATATTTAAAGGGTAAAGATTTACTTATTATCAAAAAAAAGACGGCGCATAGTTTATAAATAGCCTAACGAGTTTTGATCTTATATAATCAATTGCAAGTCATGCGGCAAATTAACACAATTATATACGAGTAATATTCTTAAGCTCATTCATACTGACGATTTTAGACCGTTGCTATTTAATTCCCAAGATGACGCTCAATATTTTCTCAGGCAAGGGTATGACGCCATTGCAGCAATTAAAATGTTCATGACGAATGTCGATATTTGTCGAAGTGGCCAGGTGTATGTTAGACAACGCTAAAATGTCCCAAGCATAGCGGGCAGAAACTGTGAAAACTATATCATACTTTAAAAACCTGTAAAGATTTTGAATAGCATATATATGAAATATGGATAGGAAGAAAGTCTTTGGTACATCCTGTGATATTACAAAAGCTTGTTAGGAATGGTAAATTCGAACCACAAGGTAAGAGTTTATTATTTGCTGTTAACGAAGATTATATAAAAGAATATGGACTTTATGACGAAGCTAACTGAAAGATTACTAAAATCAGAGTTGTACTTTCTGACAAAGTGTTTTGCGGATATAGGTTATTAGATCAACGGGAAAACGCTACAGATTTATTCTATGTGGCAAATAATGTTACAATGGAAATGAAAAATATAGTATGACAAAGTAAGGACGGAGAGTGGCACAGCCGAAAATCTTCTTCAGATAATGCATTTGATGAAATAAATATACTGTAGAAAAAGAAGAACAAGAGCTACTAATAGCCATTCAAAGTAAACGATTAAGAGTTAAAAGTGTGGAAAAACTAAAGAGTAAGGACAAGCCGTGCGAATGGAATACGATTTTTTCGACTAAGAATACCTAAAAATAAAAGCGCGCGGTCAAACGCAAAGCAGGCGGTTCAATTGAAAACTTTAAATCTATATTAGTTGTACTTAAATGTTCCAAAATTACAACGTAGATTACGCAGAAAGGTCTAGACCGAGTGTGAGTCACTCTGCAATTCCTTTATTGCTAGTGTTGGCAGCAAATAATGAATTGCTAGCAAATTGTGTCAATACGACGTAACGTACTTAACAAACCCATTTAATATTAGTATAATTAATTTTTAACCTATGTATTTTTAATACATTTATGTGACCTAATTTATGCTAAGATAAACCGTTATATATTTTAGGTAGTGTAAGCATATTTATTAGTAGTTTTATAAGCATTTATTTCAATTAATCTAATTTTGGTTATTATTGACATATTATATCTTGTAATATTGCAAAATTATCCTTTTCTAATGAAAAGTAAAGGCGAACGCAATTAAAGTTTAGCAGACTAAAAAAGACAAGTTTTTTGTTTACAAGTGAAAATTTTTTGTGTTATAAACGGTGACGCAGCGAATATCGCAGAACTTAATTTTCGCGATTCGGGACTGGTCTTATAAAGATATTGTATAACAAAATTCTAAGCACACCTTACTCTTTCTCTTTTTTTCATTATTTGCATAAGTTGAAAACCTTGCTACCCATCTTGTACCACCGAAACATCCATAAAATTTATATTTATAGCAACGGTGACAGCTTGTTAAGAGTCGTACAGGAGAAATTTATAAGAAATTACCACATATATGTGAAACTGAAGAGAATTATGGAAAGACATCCAAACTCGAGAAATCTTTATCTGGTCTGAAACAACAAAGAAGAGCCAAACATACTTTCAACCCTTCTTGTCCTTCTATCATAGGATGAATGCCTAACGAAAAATAATTTCTATAATTGTTATATGTACAATTAGGTATATTGAAAACGAAAATTAATCACGCGAGGGTTTCTAAGCATACATACAAAACACCCGAAAAATTTTAAATTACAATTACACTCACAGCTCTGTTCCACTTATCGAAGGTTTTTTTTGGGACACTAATTGACAGAATTGCCTACTTATAATTAACATTACTTGTGTTTTATTATTTACAACTAAATGGAATTTTTGATATTTTCTAGCGCCGACTCAGAAAGCAGTGTAACTTATTATGTACAATATTTCATTCTTTTGTTTTGCTAAAAATGCGCATTATTTCACTTGACTTTATCAAAAAAAAAAAGTTAAGTTAAGGTGGACCAAGACGATAAATTTGTGACTTATATGTCCAAATCAAAAATTATATATATTCTTGTGTTATTTATGTTTGTATGATTTTATCACAATGTTCGTTGTAAAGCAGCAAACATCAAATTTGCCTCTTAATTTTTTTGAAATAAATAGCGAATGATGAAAGTAATGCATAATGCAAACCATTCAAGTTACGCTGAAGAAAGAACTGGTTAACTAAAAGATACATAATCAGTCCTTGAGTAACTTTCCAAACGTAAGATGATTGAAAATTGTAAGTGTGCACATACACTACTTTCGATATATTCAACCTGAATTTCAAAGCCTGACAAACAAAAATTACATTAGGATTCACCGTTTTTTGTTATTGACGAAGTAAATTCGACAGTTAGCGGGATATCATTTGTACCACATTCTTACACATTTTTCACACTGGTCTATCGCCACTCATTGCGGTTCCGCCAAATAGCTAGATTTTATCAAATTTGCAGGTGCCTGCGTCAGAGGGCTTTTACTTATTGTAAACAAAGGTCTTTTTTCAATCGACAATGCATATTTCTTGGTTGCTAATTTTCTCCTCTTAGATTTGCCTTAAAAGGGATTCATACATAGAAGAATTTAAAAAATTGAAAGATAGAATTGAAAAGATTACATGTGTTTAAGCCCGAATTTTACAACAAGCAGTGTGATGTATAAATATAGTTTTTCGTAGCTTTTTTTCTGCCAAGCGTATAAGCAGTTCATAAGTGTTCATATAGTAACTTTTAAGTCTTTCTTTTAATTACGATTTGTTTGTTCCAGACTGCACTTTAAGAGTAGTAATACATGTGTGTCACTTCAAACTGCACGCTTTTGCCGATTTTAATAATAAATATATTATAAGTTTGGCATTAATTTGCAATGAAAACAATATTTACTATAGGTGAAGCCTTGAAATGACAGATAAACAGCCGACAAACAATTTAAATAGAACATATAATCCCGACAAAATGTTTCATGCTCTCGTTATTGGAATGGATTATATTGTCCAACTAAAAAGTCGCCTTTTGGAAATTTATACTTTACGTTTTTTATTTATTGTAGATGAAGCCATTAATTTTTGTGAGCTGACTGTAGCTGTTTAAGTGGGAAATTGATGGTAGAATAAACACCAACCCCGCTCTTGTTTAAGTTTCAAACCCCATAGTTTTACGAGCATTGTACTATGTACATGGCAATCTTATTCTAGCGAATACAGTATAGTAATCGTTTTTATGAGAAATAACAAAGATTAGAACCAGTGTTTTTTACGAATTCACGGATTTCGGTTTAAATGCTCAAAAGAACAGAACATCATACGAAAGCAAATAAATGGAAGAGTTTAATACTGTGGGACGTTTCCGAGCATACTGAACAAATATCATTGTTGTAACATTAAAATAAACTCAAAAGAATTAATTAATTGTGCCGTAAAAGGTAATGCAAAGCTCTCAAACATACATACGTAAAAAGCAGCATAAAGTTCCAATTAAAATTCTTAATAAAGAAAAACCAGAAAGAATCGCCGAAATTCTAAGAAAAATTTAAAAAATATATAATAGCCAGGTTGTTAATAAAAAGTTATATTTTTTAATGTTTTATACGTGGAAGTCGATCATGTATTTTTCGCTAATTCATAGTAACCATCGTTACTAATTCCATCATTAGCACGATGACTTTCGAATTAAATAATGCGTACACAGGCACTGACATAGTTATAAGCAGGAGACAAAATTCTTGGTTAATCTCTATAGATTAAGTTGAAAATATGCTGACTTAGGGAAGGTGTAAAAACTAGGTATTTTAAAGTGCGTTCGTAGATCCACGGACTACGCTATTTACGCTAAATTTTACCAAATGCAATTAATAAAATAACCATAAGACAAAATGAACGGAAATTTCTAGCATGAAAAGCTACGAACTTTGGGCATTGCTTATTTTTGTCGCCACCAAAAATTATTTTACTTCTCCCACTTTGTTCGGCCAGCAAACAGGAGTACGTTCAACAAAATAAAATGATACGTATCTATGTTTATGCTTTGATAATTCCAGTAACGTTGAAATTAACTGTTATGAAGAAAGTTATGACCGACACATATTCAACATGTACGGTGCTGCTTAATTTATGATTACATCCTTGCGTTCGACGTTTAGCAAATATGACGGTGCAATACTTATGCCAAGAAAAATTTGTCCAAAGTGGAAAATTTGAACTCAAATATTAGCAGATGTATAGAAAATATTGTCTACATGGACGGGTGTGTTCATTGCACAAGCGAAATTAAATAGTCTAAAAATAATTATATTGCACCCTGATATTGCTTATGGGTATGACGCTCAAAGATGCAATCAATATAACGCAAACAAAAAATAAGCATGTGTTAACTTGAGAAATTTAAAGTATTAAGTTATTTTGCCTGCATTTATATAAAGGAAAAAGATGTGAGTATGTTCGCACCATACATTGACTAATTACTATAGTTGTATTTCATATGCTGTCAAGTGTAGGTATATATTTAAAAAGTTGACTTGATTTTCATCATAAATACTCGTATATATGCTATTGTATCTTTAAATAATGTCACTCTTAATTTTGATCGTTATTGTTTTTGTTTACTACGTGATCATAGAATCTGTAAAATATATAGATTCTATAAATTTCAGTATTTAAATTAATATATGAACGGAGGGTTTGAGTATTTCATTTAAATCAAATATCTTTTGAAATAAAATGGTTTATGTTCCCATGCCCTAAACAAAGATTATATCCGATTTATCGAGGCATTCAAGTACCGCGGAGTGTGTATGTCTTTTTTTTCGAGTGACCTACCGCTCGAGAAAAATGTTTTTTATTAGAAAAAAAGTGCCTGGAGGAAGCTTTCTTTTGCGATCACCACAAGAAGTAAGAAGCCTCTCTGCGGTTTAGGTATACTTGACTTGTATATTTAACTTGTTCTCACCTTTCTATTTATATATATATACATATATATAGATGCACAAAGGTATATGTTCTTATGGACTGTAAATAAGGACATATATGTCTGCATATTTTTATCTCTGCTTTCCTTTTGTGTAAGTTAACAACCGCTTATTAACCTTAACCTTACAATGTCAGTATCTGATCTACAGAAGCAGCTTTATTCTTATTTTTTTTATATATTTACTTAGTATTTTTTTTTTTTTTAAATTCTGGCAGATAAAATTCGTAATTCAATCCGATCAAGAAACCTCCTATTGGAAATCTTTTTTAATAGATTTTATTTTGTTGTGACAATCAAGGAGCGTCGATCATCAATAGCTTGTAAAATTATAGCATGTAGAGATATAACATCAGTAAGCAAATTCGAACATGTTCGATCTATATAGATAAAATTAATTAATTGAGAAGGTCTTCAACGTAAATGCGTTTGCTGGAAATGACTCCCCTTAAAAAATATAAACGAGAGATAAGTGCACACATTTATACCTATGTTGAGAAGACAATTGATTATGCATTCTGCAGGATGAGCAAATTAAATGTTGCAGTGTTGTAAAGAGTTCCTCAACGTGATTATTTATGGAATAGTCAAAGTGGGCGAATTTACTGCAGTATATCTTCTACTATCGGAGTTTGTGTAAACCCCATTTTTTTTTCTAACGTATTCGATCCAAGTTAATATTAAATCGTTAGTCAACTGGACGACTTATTATTCCTTATGATTGATGAATCAATATTTAATTAGCTTAAGAAGTGCTTTGCGTGGGATTTCAAATTCCTTTAAAAAATTTACGGAAACAATTGCTCTTTTAGGTCAAGAAATATGCTATAATCATTTAATTAACCCGCTTCATGTCGTTTTACAACATAAATAAACACATAAAAATTTATTAATTAAAACTTTTTCAAAACTTGTGTCTTATCTCGTACTAATAATAATAATTAGCTTTTTAGCTTTGGAATCGATAATCTTGTTGATTTCCTCTATATTTTCATATAAAAAGTTAACTAAAGTTATCTTCAACAATTATTACACAGTCTTTCTTACTCGGCAGGTAGACAATTTCTTTAAGTTGCAACATAGTATTACGGCATGATACCTAAACTATATTATTTCTCACAAAATTATTGCTCAAAATGAAGTTGTGAAATAAAAAATATGTGCCTTATATTGAAAGCAGTGTCAGAGAAAGAAAATGTACGGCGGACCTAAGTCTCCTCATACAAACATTAGGTTAATTTTGTTTGGTACTTTATTTAGTCATGCTTTTTTTACAAAATATTTAAGTGCTCCTTTCTCCTTTCCGTTTTCCTGAGCATTCACACACGGAGGAAATATTAGATGACGTATGAACATAAATGTATATAAACTTTGTAAAATGGTTCCAAAACCATGCGACCTGACAGAAAAATCAAGAAATGTTTCTGAATTTAGCTTTTTCCAGTTCGATGCGGTTTTTAAGTGACGTATGATAACCTCGATTCGCTATTTACAGCGAGAAAAAATGTTTGAAATAGCCATTAAGAATTCTTTCATATTTGCAAATGCGAAGAGATAAAGTAATGCAGGGATTAAGCTTACCAAAAAGTGGCCGCAAAGACGACACTGAGCTTTAACATTGTGCTTCGACCATCGCGATAACGAATGTATGAACTGATATATTTGTGCTCTTGCAAGTGACAGTTTACTACATCATGTTTCTATGTTCAGGTTTTCAGCATGTGATGTACAGCACTTGTTAAAATACGTACCATTTCTTGCCAGCTCCTATACTTCCAATCGACAATCAGCCACTGCCATTTTTTGTTGGTTTGTCTCACCATTTATGTCCTGGTCATTGCATTTGGTTGACTACTGCAAATTTTCTCTTAACGAATTGTAAGACCTAGTTTAACGCCGACATCAAACATTTTATTGTTGTAAACAAAGGAGGGGATTTCCCAAGGGAAGAATCTAACGTGGCTTGGGTATTGGTTGGATTGACACCTTTCAAATAATAGCTTTCGATGCAAATTTTTTCCATATTGTAGGGGGAGCGCTAGCTATGGCTATCAAGTGAATGCTACATTATGTAGCGACTTCAATCTCCGTTGGGGGCTTTTACAATCTGTAAAAGATGTATAAGCAATATAAAAAATTTAATGCAAAATAAAGCTAATATAAAGTTCCCACAATTACAAACTTGATCGCTGCAATGCTAACTTCAGGTATATTTGTATGCATTCGTGCATTTGTGTCGCAGTTCAACGGCATTAATACTAACTAACTAAAGTACTTTTCCAAGCCTTATAGAAAAGTTTCCCGAGAAAAACTGAATATAATTTGGAAAGGTTATTGATCAAACAATGCTAGTTCCGTTTTATTGCAGTCCTTGGACAGATAGCATTTTTGGTTCTTGTTTTTGGTAGCTGTATTTAAATATAACCCCATACTTATTATATATAAATATGTCAGTTGGTCCCCCCTACCCACAACGATGTAAGGTGCGGCTCCTCTTTTCTTCTTAACTATTATTGTACAGCTGATATGGAGCTATCAACTTGTGGGCAATTCCAGTTGGTGCCTTTATTTACGTAACTCTTAATGCTTGCTTGCGAAGAAAGACATATCTTCGGAATTTTACGATTATAATAGAGTGGATACTCGAGCACAGATCCAGCATTGCCGTATGGGACTTCGAATATGGATGATCAGATCGATGTTTTCAATAGTAATTTGGATCTCTTTTATGATATTATACCCAAAGTTAGACACGAGGCTGCTGTCAGTTGTGTGTGTCGATTTAAATGTAGTCAAATCAAATTTGATCTTTCTCGGCGTAATTTAGCTTATAAGGCGTATTTATGTAACAAGAATGATGGCCCTAGCGTGTACAAAAGAATAAAGTCAAATATGTTATTAGAATATGCACGAGAAATGTGCACTTGTTAACTTTCAGACGATCAAAAAATAATCATTCGTGGTGTAAATGACGTCAATTTTGGGTTTAAAGCATGTTGAAGATTTAAATGTGGGTGCTGCTGAGGTGGATGTCATCGATGATCATTTTCTCCACTATTACTTAAGCACTGCTAGAAATTGGCCAAATTTAAATAACTGCTACAGGTTGTTGCGCTTTTATGGGATAAGGATGTTTAAACTTTGAACGGCATTTGGTAAAATCAGGTCTAAAGCGCCAGCAGTGGATGGTTTCTCTTTTATGTTCTCGAAATTAATTTGGTGCTGAAACAACATTAATGCTCATATGTTATGTATTATTAAACACATTCCCACTACATCTAAGTTTTCCACGGCCTGAAAATGTGTTTGTATTATTCTTATCAGATTTCAATCTCGCCTATTCTCTCGAAGCTCTTTAAACATGTAAGTAAGGGACACATTAACAACCATCTTGACAATAACTCACTACCTTTTAAGTCTCAGCATGGTTAGCACTACTTCTTTGTTACTCATTATAAG